CTTCCTTGCGCCTTAACAATAATATAAAAAAATAGTCGATTTGGTCGGCGATTTTTGGCTATTTATTTTTATTTATTTAGATTTACAGCGTACAGTGTTATTCATCCAAGACTGATTATCGCTGCATCTAATAAATATAACCTTTAAAGCAGTCAAGTAGAAATATTTAAAAGTACCAAAATACTTAGTACAATTTCTAGGTATCGTACATTATACCTAGGTAACTAAATAGTCCGTAATGTCACACGAAGTTTGAACTCGTACCGGTCCGCCTTGACTGCCTTCTGAGAACTGTGCCCGAGGCTCTTAGGTCATGTATTTAGACACGCTAGCTTGAGCATACTGCCTTGTTTGTGTGTGTTAATTAAGGGCTGTCACGTGCATCATTTTGGCATGTTTTAATGTTTGAGAACTGCGACTATTCGAAGTCTATGAGGAAACCTTTAATGCGGAAGGTCAGACTGGCTGTTGGCATGGCGACGCACCGCCACGCCATGTAACATGTAATGCGGTGTAGCGACGCGCCACCATTCTAAACATTATTCTATTATTTTTAATTATGCTATACTTGTTGTACCCTTTCATAAGCTATCCATCCTTTTCTACTTATTATTTGTACAAAATAATTTCGATGTTTCACATCTGTCAGACGTCTCGCGACGTTTCACTTTTGTTTTATTTGCTTTGTGTATTATTTATTTTCGCTGCAAAAGAGTGGAGTGGTACTTAAAAGAACAATAATAATAAGTGTATTAATACTAGTTTATTTAAGCCGAACATTACGTATAATAAGATATTGCGATTACGTACTAGACATAAAAACAATCGCAACAATAGAAGTGTAAATTGGTACAATTTACACAGCTACTGTGAAAAAAAAACAGACATAATATAGCAAAGATTGAGTCAGACTGAAAGAGACAGCCCTACAGGATATAATTTTTAATAATGAAACCATGAATGGGTGTAAGTCCAAACAATAACATTGTAAATAGGCCCTAAATTATGTGCGTAAGGGTTGTCTCAGCTGTTACTATTTTAACTCTATAAACAACCTATTATCTACAAATATTTTTGATAGACAAATAAACGTGGCCATTCACTTGTTTCTACGAACAAAAGAAAGAGACGACAATAGTTTTAACTTTAAGAATAGGCAATGAACGGAGTGTAATTTGCTTTGCATGACGCATCAGTTCTTTGAGATTTTTTTTCTTTACATAGTCTTTATGTCGATTGAAATAAGGTTTAAGATTCTCGACAGTTAGGTGGAAGGTGAGACCTTGAAAAGCCCTTGAAAAAAAGAACTATTGTAGACTTTTTTATTATTAACTTGTTTTTGGAACGAAGCAGACAAGTTTAAACTTGTTTTAACTTAAAATTTAAATTCTTGTTGGAATTTAAGACTGCTCGTATATTTCAGTTTTTTGATAAATACATCATTTCTTGATAAATCTTGATTCATCATTTCTTGATAAATCATCACTGAAGCAATAATGGTAGTAAAATCAAGGCAAGAGACCTGTCTTAATTATGGATCATAACTTATTCTAAGGGTGTTTTTGTTTTTTTTTTGTTTTGGGGGCAAACGATGGTCACTGCCCATGCACCGGGAACTCAAGAGCCAGAAGTCCCAAGCCTCACCACCCCTGGGATTGCCTTCAAAAACGAAACAAATGTTTAACACCGGTTTTCTGTAAAACTGTCTTCTCTTTCTGTCCGGTTCCACTCCGGTCTAGTGGTTCTATATAGGTACTTATGTTGAAGCTTGGATATCCCCATGGTAGGTACATTTTAAAATATTTCGATCAACTTAAAATAATATCATCATCATCATCATTATCAACAGCCTTTACTGGTCCACTGCTGGACAAAAGCCTCTTCTTAGAAAGATCTCTTCTAAAATAATATCCGTTATTATTTAAGTTATTAATGTATAAAGAATTCAAAGATTAACTTAAACTAGTAAGAAATTATTGTTACTTAATTAAAACTTAATCACAAGTAGGGTGTTTATGTATTTACCTGCAACTGGGGACAACTTGCGCATCACACACCATCGCGATTTCCACTGAAAACAAAAAAAACTTATTACAATATTATAAATAACCACACCATAATATAATTGTAATTGTTGTAAGGTATGAGGCTAAGTAGGGGTCTAACGAGCTCTGTCGCTCGGTAACATGATTGCGGCCATTGAGCGAGTGCGAGTGGAACTCCGTCGTCTCCTTCTGCGAGCAAGTTATGCTTGCGAAAGAGATGGCGGAGCGGGACCGGGAGAGGTTTAGAACTCTCCCGGTCCGCCAGGCTCGGGAAAGTGCCAGGTACCGCAAATGACCCAGGCGACGGAGGCGGCAGAGGCCGCCAGGGTGGGTGGCCCGAGGAACGTCCCCCGGCTACTGTTATCTGGAGACGACGTGCGCTTTTTAATCGGTTCGAGTCTGACATAACCACCCCACTTACGAATAGAAAAAAAAGGAGGCAATCGAGCAGGCTGGTAAGTGACCTCCTTTGAGTCTCGTTAATCAGATGGTTGGTTTGGGCTCCGGTTATTTCTCAATTAAAAGCAACGAAAGAGTTCTTTACACTGGTTTTCTGTGAGGCCATGTTCACTCCGGTAGAGCCGGTTCATTTGTGCCGAAGCATGTCCCTCCCACGGAAATGTAACTGGAACTTTTCGATGAGGTTCAGTACACCTAATCACTCATTTCTACACCACTCTAAGGTAGACTGCCAGAGAATGCTGATGGCATTAAGTCCACCTTTGAAATTTTTTGTGCATAAAGCATTTAATAAAAAGATGTAGGTGTTGTAATACGCCCCTGTCTACCCCTTAGGTGATAAAAGTATATATATTATGTATCTTTGTAACAAGACTAATAAGTAATTTAGGTAATAAATAGAAATCTGCGAGAATTAACTGTGCGTGAACTAGATTGAAAGCAATAAAAGTAGACTGTTTATGGCCCATTTCATTAAGCAAGCGACGGCTAAGCTACTTTTTGTAGCAGTCGCGTTGCTGCTCGTTGCTACATTACTTCTTAAGCTACAAATAACTTCCATCTATAAACGGTCATAGGATAACTAGTAAATTATTTTCTTAAATCAATAGAATAATAACGGTTTTTTTTACATTCTACCATTTATAGTGTTTATATTCTCAAACAAGTTAAAACAAGTAAAGCGTGCTATAATTTGTTGAAACGATTTTATTTCTTGTAATGTTTTGTTAATAAATGTCAGAATAACGTTAATTGGAAAAAAAAATCGGACTATTACGAGTAATATAAGTATTCTAATATGCACAATTTTCTTTTAAGTTCCCAGGTTTTGAGGAGGGAGAAAGCTTGTATTTTTTTTTGTTATACATAAATTAGTCTCTTCTGTGATTTGTTATAAATTTGTAGACATTAAAAACTTTTTTGAGAATACGTCAATTCAGCACCATTTTAATCAAGATAAGACCTGATATACCAATCTAGGCAGAGCCAGTGTTAGTTACCAACTAGACCACTGATAAACATACTTATATGTTTTCTAATACATACATATCATGGATTAATATGTACTTTCATCAATTCCAGATTTTCTATTTGAAGTTATAAGCATCTAGTCTGATATTTCTGATCCATTGTGTTCTTATGTTAGTGGTATTTTAAAGTACCCAACTATCATGTTTATTTTATACCCCAATAAATCGTGATATAATAAAGAGAAACCTTATTATACTAGGGAACAACAAAGGAAGGTAACTTTCTAAAGGTTTGTTACCCATTTACGAGGCTTTCTACCTATTGAAGATCAATCAGAACAACTATTTACAACTGAATGAGTAGCAATGAATCTCTCATAGTTATTGCTTGATAGCTTTAAGTTAGAACACGGTCTGGCCACATGTTACTAAGCATCGGATTACCACCGGTAGTGTGACTGACATATATCTGTCCTCCTCGCACTAAGGCTTGTATGTTATCTGTGATGTTGATGTGTGATGCAGTCATGAGTAAATGACGTATGTAGGGCGACTGTACATTGCTTTGATAGTAATAAGGTTCAGTTTGTTGTATGTGTGTATTCGATACGAGGCGAGGTATGGTTATTTTTGTCTGAATTATCTATTATTATTAATTGTCGATTTAAATTATAAATAATTTTGAAAATCGATTCACAGTTGACGGAGTTATCTGTGTGGTGATGGATTAAGAATACCGAATATCACCACCCCTATTCATCCCGTGGGTGTCGTAAGAGCCGACTAAGGGAGCAGACTACGCAGGACAACAGCACTGCAAAGAGAAGGAAAACTTGACACAAACCCTATACCAACCCGTCTGGCCAGCGTGGTATAGTAGGCCAAACCCTCCTTTCTAAGGAGAGGCCTATGTCCAGCAGTGGACTATTATAGGCTGTTGATGATGATGATGATGATGAGTAATCGGTGAACATACATAAAAAAATTACAAACAGTGGAAGATTGAACCTCCTTACTGAAGTCGGTTAAAAAAGAGAGGGTCAATTTGTATATGACATTAAAATTATTTGGGATATTTTGTTGTTTGTTTGTTACTTTGAAGGTTATATCTTAAGTATAAACCTATAGTAAAATAATGGATCAGATTTTAGCCATTATTTTTTGAGGTTTTTTTTAAATATGTGAAATGTATATTTAAAATGTTCATGTAATTTAAGGTAATGTTTATTTTACGTATTTTAACCTAATTTTACTATGTTAATTTTAGTGGAATGTGTGTAAACTGTTAGTAATTATATTGTACATAACAAAAATATGTCAACATATTTATATTTTCTGAAACTGTAACAACAAAGTAAATTCCTAACAAAATCATGGACATACTAGCCGATCGAAAAAATTACGAACACTGCTGCGCGCGTTCACCGTCGCGCCACGGTTGCGAGACAGCGGTGCCCGCGTCTCCCCTCAGTTGCCCAAACATCGCCGCACACACTACACGTCCGTTAAAGTTTCATTTTTCAAAATGGCGGAGATTGATGCCGAGACGCTTATCATGTCGATGAAAAGACGACCCGCGTTGTACAACAGAAATGATCCGAATTACTACAGCCATAAGAAATATAAGGCTAAACTTTGGATTGAGGTGTGCAAAGAAGTGTTCCTGCATTTCGACAGCTTGAAGCCACAGAACAAGGTTGAATACGGTGAGTAAATATTTATGCGATTTTAAGTCATACTACTACGGCATTATGTCTAAAATCGTATGTAAGTTCGTTCTATTGACAGACAGTTTAGTGTCTATAGTGTAGTGCTGCTGGGTCAAAGTGTACTGAAAATCGTGCTTTGCGACTGGTGGATAAGGTTCAAAGTCGTGAATTTAAGTCAAGTTATAAAAGTGATCGCTGGCTAGTCGCCATTAAGTCTCTTTGACGGTCATTAGTTGTCTTCTGCGACACAAACATAAAATAACTATTTAGTTGTTATTAATCAAATAATGATATTTGCTTTTAATTCTGAGCGACTCGTGGCATGTCAGACATGCAAATTAGGACTTAATCATTATGAAAATTTCGCGATTAAGTCCCGATTTGCATGTTAAGTACGATACCTATTTCAGTCTAGCCAATGTAACGATCAAACTCAACGTGGATTACTTTTATTCCCAAATATTACTAGATTAGTTCAAACTGAAGCTTATGATATCTATTGCCAACGACTTTTACACCTTATGACGGGTTTGTAACGATAAGTTCGATTAGATAAGGGAGTAAATACACTTATAAAATAAACTCCCGATTTTTATATGAGGAACTTTCCAGGGTGACCATGCATTGTTGAGGTCATAAGATAAACTTTTGCGGTCGTCGGCGCCCGCCTATTCCTTCTTTCTCTTACTTGCTCACCCAACTGAGGGGGAGGACGCCGGACTTGGGGTCCTAAGACGCAGAAAAAATCGCTGTGCACGCAATTGTGCGCTCCAGAATACGGTGGTGGTGTACATTCCAGTGTCAATCACCGAGGTTGAAACCGGAGTGTAAACAACCACCCCGTCTACAAAAAAAGGCATCCACCTATGTCCAGCAGTGGACGTCATTCGGCTAAAGACGAAAATGTTGATAATAGAGGTTACTTTAAGAGTAAATGATTCGTCCATAGAATTTCTGTTGATTAATATTGACTAAATTCATTATACCCGTGTTTCGGTATTGAGACAGTTTGGACACTTGAAATGTGGGTACTGAAGGCCATGTCAATTCAAAGTTTGCAACTTACAATGTTTTGGACTTGAAGTTTGTGTTTGACAAGAAGGTTCATTGATTTTACTAAGTTCAATCATAGTTTACAGCAGTTTTTTTTAGAAAATGAACAGATTAGTCAACTTAATGTTAAGTGACTAGCGCCTGGACACTTGCAAAGAATCACAGGTGCGTTGCCTCGCTTTTGCGAGACTTACAAAAAAAATGTTCAAAAAGAATATCACATAACATTCACTCACTAACACGGACTCTAGTCCTTACACATATACACATACGTATATACATTGCAAGCATACGCACAGCAATCTGTTTTTATATGTTTAAAAAGTTCACAAAATATTAAAATTACAATGTTTATATTACTATGTACTTGCCGTGTCCTCAACAATATAAAGTAACTAAAAACCTACTTAACTTAACCTAATGTTTGTATGATCTGCAAATATTTGTTTCGGAGTTTGGGTGTTTTCTATGTATTTTTCATTTTTTTTTTTGTGTTTAAAACAACTCCCGCATTAGGAATGTATCCGGTGTCGCGGGGGCCTTTACAAACATACATGAAACGGACACAAAGAACACCCAGACTCAGAACAACCATTTGTGGATCACATCACAAAAAGTGTCGTCTCATGTGGGGTTTGACCCACAACACTCGGCGGCTATCAGTCAATCTAGTTTTCATAGTACAAGCTCTGTTTAGTTTGAAACTAGACGGTGTTGTGTGTCAGATGTCGGAAATATTAAATTAATATTATCTATACTAATATTATAAAGCTGAAGAGTTTGTTTGTTTGTTTGAACGCGCTGATCTCAGGAACTACTGGTCCGATTTGAAAAATTCTTTCAGTGTTAGATAGCCCATTTATCGAGGAAGGCTATAGGCTATATATCATCACGCTAAGACCAATAGGAGCGGAGCACCAATGAAGAATGTTTAAAAAACGGAGAAAATTTATTACTATTGAGAGATGCAGACGAAGTTGCGCGGGTCAGCTAGTTATTAATATTTATTAACTCATTTGGTTGGCTCACAATAATCATCTTCATATATTGTCACAATATTATAAGTCCTTTTGCAAATACATCAGTCTACGAGTATATTGCCTTAATTATTTTAACGCGAAGCCGTACCAAGGTGTTCCCTAGAACGATACAGTCAATTGAAATAAATTGGTTTGTGTATAGAGAAGTAGTTGATTAAATTAAAGTGAGCTTGTTAGTCAGACCTGAATATAGACATCTCCTTTGTCTGATGTAGTCAATACTGGACTATGTATTAATTTTAATATTAAAGAGCAGAAGAGATTGTTTGTTTCTTCGGTTGAACGCGCTAATATCTGAAACTACATGGCCGAATTCATAAAATCTTTAATATTTGATAGCCCATTTATGGAGGAAGGCTATATGCTGCTAAAGCTGCAAAAACAGGAAGACATGCAGACTGTTACGCGGGTTAGATAGTATCGGAATAAGAATAAACGCATGCTAGCTATATTTTGTTAATTCATTAATTGTCCTACTATTTAAACTTGTTTTATTGATGAATGGTCCTTTTCAGTACCCATGAAAACGCGTATACTAACTTTAATTAACATTGATTAAGTATTCATACGTGAGATCGTAATTAACAGCCTCTCATAAATTCCATTATTTTTTAAGCCATATTTGTTTTTTCATATCTAACTGTTATTGTTATTAAATATAATTGATCCGGTAGCCGGTAACCGGTAACCGGTTCAGCTACCGTCGTCCGGATATCGGCTATCTTTAAATGTTTTAGTCAGACTATAATTTAAGCCGGTTAGGTGCCGTAGGATCTAGTGTTATCGCCGGAACACTTTCATAATTATTTATCATACATATTACGTGTGATAAGGAGACGTTGCACTCAATTTCTTCGTTGATAGCTGCTGTAATAATTCTAAAATATTCATCAACATCATCACATCAACAGCCTTTAATAGACCACTGCTGGACATAGGCCTCTCCTTAGAAAGGAGGTTTTGGCCTACTATACCACGCTGGCCAGACGGGTTTGTATAGGGATTGTATCAAGTTTTCCTTCTTTTTGCAGTGCTGGTGTCCTGCGTTGTTTTGCGCCCTTAGTCGCCTCTTACGACACCCACGGGACGAATTGGGGTAGTGACATTCCGTATTCTTAATCCGTCACTACACGGACGCTAAATATAAAATATTAGGTTATATCATATACTATTTGTACTCTGCGACGCTTCGCTGTGGGACATTATGGTTGCAAAAATAGATAAAAACCGTATTTGAATTTTAGGTATATTGTGTCAATCGGTGCAGAGGATTTTGAAGTGTATATAAACTAACTTAACATATTTATATATACACTAGCTGACCCGGCAAACGTTGTTTTGCCATAAACATTTACAAAAATTTAGGGGTGGGTCATCCTTGTCATTTAGGGGTATAAAAAACAGATGTTGGCCGATTCTCAGACCTACCCCGATGTGCACACAAAATTTCATTAAAATCGGTAAAGCCGTTTCGGAGGAGTATGGTAACTAACATTGTGACACGAGAATTTTATATATTAGATGTACACACATTGATCTGTAAATTTAAGAAAAAAAACAGTACCAGATGTGCCTGTACATAAAAAAGCCGTGTGGTGTCGTGGGACACCCGATAGGAACGAAGTTGTGACGATCGAGTAAAACTGATTGGACACGATTTTAATTACAACGCCATCTATGAAAGCGGCTATTACCTACATATTTTTCAGTTGGTTTCTAATTAAAATAATTTATACATTGATAAAATCTCCTTGAGAAATGATGTCGAATACAATATTTTTTGCTCAACCTAAGAACATAAATTTTAATTTTACTGAGATGAAAAGTAATGATTTCCTATCTATTCGATAGATGGCGCTGAATGACTGACAAGTGACAATTCAAAATAAAAAGTGTCGTTACAACTTTCCGTGAGATTTTTTTTCGTCTAGCCCCCTTTCACAACGCGCGATAAGGAACTTCGTTCCAAAAGTAACATAAAAGTACGGTTGGTATGGATTCAGGCATGGACTTCTTGGATTATTTTCTGACTGTCCATTATTCTGTTTGTATCTTACCATACATCTTCGAAACTATTAAACAAATTTACACGTATTCTGCATGTAGAATATAATTGAAAGCAAAATAAAGTTCAGTAAAATCGGATATTCGAAAAAAGTTGTCACCATTTTAAGATTGATTCAGTTTTTAATATCCAGTTTACTTCAAAACATTGATAAGAATAAGGGAGCGTATAATATTTACACTTTCAGGTGATACAAGATATGACTGAATAGTAAATCTTAATAAGATTTGCAGTTTTCAAAACTTGAATAAAACTTACACACCTTATTTTTTTAAACCACATGCTAAGCTTCTAGAGTTTCAATAAAATAACTGAATGGTAAATAAACACACATAAAAGTTTATTACAGAACTGTTAGTTAAAGAACCTTCGAGATTTTTCGATTTTACAGTCGAATCCAATCTCACCAGAATAATGCTCTTTATTTTATTTTTGTTATTCTATTTCTACTTTTTCATTATAGGTCACGAACTTCAAAGACGTTGGAAGAGTCTCCGAACATGCTTCACTAGAGAACTTAATATGCAGAAGAAAGAGAAGCTTAAGAAAGAACGAAACGAAGGTCCCATGAAGAAACGAAAGAGATACGAGTACTTCGACGCGATGTCATTTTTGCTAAGTTCTGACAACGGCGAGGAAGAACAAGATCAGGAAGTAACCAGAGAATCCGACGATTCACATGAATCAGGGGATCCCTTGGAGAATGTCAAGAACGAAACCATGATGTACCATTCCGGAAATGCAGGAAACAACTCCCACAGCTTTGAAGTAGAGGCTGATACTGGTCTTTTAAGGCCAATTTACGAGAACAGGAATGAGAGTTTAGAAGATAAAATCTTGGATATGCTAAAGGAGATTAAGAAGGATGAAGAAGACGAAGATAGGCAGTTCATGTTGTCGCTGGTGCCTAGTTTCAGGAAGCTTAATGCAAAACAGAAGTTCGAAGCCCGCATTGAAATTCTGAGAGTTTTAAAAGATGTAACTTTCAGAGAAAGTGGAGGGAGTTAGGATTCAGTTTAAGCCTATTGTGTAAAATACCTTCGACATTTGTTATTTATACAGGGTTACAAGAAAAGTCGTGCTAGATCCGTTAAGGGCGTGGAGTACCCATCATTTCTGACATATTTAACTATGAAACACCCTACCCTAAACTTAACCCTTTTCGAGATAATCGTCTTTTAATTTTTTTATTGAAATTTGCTGATTTTTAGGCTACTACATTTATTTTTGTTTATTTTGTGTATCTTATTATTATTATTTTTGCATTTTTACATGTGTAATAAGATGCTTTAGGACGTCAGTCATTAAAATAGTTCATAAGTTAATTGAATAGATCGTAGTAGACAAGTGAAAGTAAAGAAATAAAAAAAATTATTAGAAAATTATTTTTCTCTAACGGATATCTAAAAACAATATTATGGTAATTGTTCGGCAGATGTTTTTTAAAATATCTACGTTTCATCAGCTATCTAACGAGGTATAACAATCTAGGGTTTGTATTACATTTCGTGGAAAAAAAGTAGTTGGGACGCTCCAGGTAACAGTTCTAACGGTCCCGCGCTTATTGTCCTTCAAGTTAAGACGCACCAAGCGAGCGAGACAAGTGACGATTTATGTAGGTGCGAATGAAAGAAAAAATGTGTAGAGACCGGTTAGGGCTGGGAATACAACAGGGGGCATTGTTTGGTTGTCACTAGTTGTCAGTCTGCTTTTGTGCTTCGTACATAGTAGATGTGATATCGTTTTGCTCTTTTTCTCGACTTGGCTGTGATTCTGGACTATTTCTTCTGATTTGTGACTACTGTGCTTGTTAACCGGACTCTGATTTGTACCTGTGATACGGAAGTGTTGAAGATGACGTCCTACACGCCTGAGGAATATGCTGATATGCTTATTAGTTACGGATACTGCGATTGTGTGTCTGCGCAAGCTCGCAACGAATACATAACTCGCTACCCTGGTCGTCGAGTGCCGGATGTGGCCGTTTTTGACAGAGTTTATCGAAGACTTCGAGAAACTGGCTCTGTTTTGAGACGAAATACAGACATGGGAAGACTACGAATTGACGACGAAGAACAGGACAATGAGATAGTGCAACGCTTTCGAGCGGATCCGACTACTTCCAATAATATTGTTGCCCGTGATCTGGGACTTTCGCAATGGAGAGTGTGGTTTACAGTGCATACTGCTGGCCTATACCCGTACCATTACACGCCGGTACACGTTATTGAAGGAGGAGACCCCGCGAGAAGATTGGACTTTTGCAGATTTATGCTAAATGCTGACGTAGAAGACCCAGATTTTCTAAGAAATATCTTGTGGACGGATGAGTCCAAATTTGATAAGGATGGCATAACTAACTATCACAACGCCCATTACTGGGCCCCAAAAGAACTAAGGAATCCCAATAAGAAAAGAGTGAAGGGGTCCCAACGAAGATTCAGTGTGAATGTGTGGATGGGCATTATCTCCAATCATTTGATTGGACCTTACTTTCTCCCGGATAATCTAAATGGGGAAAGCTACGAAAAATTCCTGAGAGCAGACTTGAGTGATTTGCTGGATGATCTGCCACTCAACCTGATCAGGGACATGTGGTTCCAACACGATGGCTGCCCTGCCCATTTCAGGAGAAGTGTCAGGGACTGGCTGGACACAAATCATCCAAACAAATGGATAGGACGAGGTGGGCCGTTGCCATGGCCAGCAAGAAGTCCGGACCTAACCCCCATGGATTTTCATGTGTGGGGGTGCATGAAAAGTCTTGTGTACAGCGAGCCGAATCCAGTTTCGTCTGTGGAAGACTTACGAGAAAGGATTGTGGATGCAGCAAATAAAATGAGGACCACGTTGACCACTGGAGTAGTGAAGACTGGTCTCCGTAGAAGGATGCGACAATGTATCAGAAATAGAGGCGGCCATGTTGAACATGAACTGTAGAATAAGAAAAAGTTGTGTGAAAACCTTTAATAAATGACATTTCATGCTTAACTATTGTTTTATTTTACTTTTTTGGGCTAAGTATAAATTTTCTTCTCCACTGTCGCCTATGAAACTAAAGTTTTTTCAATGCGTTTGAATAAAACCTTCGATTATTATACCTCGTTAGATAGCTGATGAAACGTAGATATTTTAAAAAACATCTGCCGAACAATTAGCATAATATTGTTTTTAGATATCCGTTAGAGAAAAATAATTTTCTAATATTTTTTTTTATTTCTTTACTTTCACTTGTCTACTACGATCTATTCAATTAACTTATGAACTATTTTAATGACTGACGTCCTAAAGCATCTTATTACACATGTAAAAATGCAAAAATAATAATAATAAGATACACAAAATAAACAAAAATAAATGTAGTAGCCTAAAAATCAGCAAATTTCAATAAAAAAATTAAAAGACGATTATCTCGAAAAGGGTTAAGTTTAGGGTAGGGTGTTTCATAGTGAAATATGTCAGAAATGGTGGGTACTCCACGCCCTTAACGGATCTAGCACGACTTTTCTTGTAACCCTGTATATATTTTTTTTTAATACTTTACACATTTTGTCACAGTCTGATCCCAAACTAACAAAGCCTATACTATGGTAACCAGACTGCTGATAAACATTCTTATATATTTTTAAATACGTACATATTGTAAATAAATTACACCCCGACACAGAACAAATAATCGTGATCATCACACAATTATTTGTACCGAGTGGGAATCGAACCCAACCGACTGGCCCATCAAAATTTTGTTGTCTCTGGCATATTTTTATAACGCAAGGTTTTTGAGTCTTCCTTAATCGTGTAATTTGTGTATTAACTTAAGTTTAGGACAAATTATTTAGTAACTAAAATAATATATATAGAGACTGACATTAACGAAAAAGTTTTCCATAAAAAAATGTAATTAATTTGCGTCCTTTTATTCATTATTTTAACGAACCATTATTCACAAAACCATAAACTTGGATGAAATAAAAGCTATTAGCTATCTAAGAGATATTATTTTTACGTTATTTTTAATGACCCTAGAACCTCCATCCGGCTTGCGATAGTAACATTTAATGAGATTGTTTCAATGTTCAATATACATGTAATATATTTTAATAGACAAACAGCCTATACGCTATTTCTTATTACATAGACAACATAGCGAATATAAGCTAAATAAAATCGTTAAAAATAAACCCATATATGTATCTACATATAGGAACAATCTTAATACTTGATTTATCATAGTTATGAAAGTGCCACAACTGTTTCATAACGATTTATATTTTATTAAAAAGGCGGCAAAAAGGCTCAATCTTATTTAAAAAACTAGCTGACCCGGCAAACGTTGTATTGCAAAACAAAAAAAAATTCGTCAGGCCGTTTCGGAGGAGTACGGGAACGAACATTGTGACACGAGAATCTTATACGAGTATATAAAATTCTCGTGTCACAATGTTCGTTCCCGTACTCCTCCGAAACGGCTTGACCGATTCTCATGAAATTTTGTGTGCACATCGGATAGGTCTGAGTATCGGCCAACATCTATTTTTCATACCCCTAAATGGTAAGGGTGACCCATCCCTAATTTTTTTTTGTTTTGCAATACAACGTTTGCCGGGTCAGCTAGTATTTAATTTAAAAGTGTCATTTAAGATGCTAGAAATATAATGTGTAAAATAATCAGAATCTATTCAGGGATTTAGGAGTTCACCATTATCTTCATCATGAACAGCCTATAACAGTCCACTGCTGGACATAGGCCTCTCCTTAGAAAGGAGGTTGTGGCCTACTGTACTACGTTCTCCAGACGGGTTGATATAGGGTTTGTTTCAAGTTTTCCTTCTCTTTGCAGTGCTGTTATCCTGCGTAGTTTGCTTCCTTAGTCGGCTCTTACGACACCCACGGAATAGGGATGGTAGGAGTTATGGTTATAAAGAGACTGACAACCCTTGAAACATTACACTCCCATTAATGTGCAGAAGAGGGCTATAATTACGTCTCAAATGATAAATAAATTTTAAACACTCAATATTAATAGTTTGTGCGTTAATCTGTTGTTTTCTGTTCTGTCTTTGTTTGGGAATTGAATCAGTAGCTTTCGACTGGAAACAAATAACATTCGACGTTCCCTGATTATTCCACAGACCCCGTTTCAAAGTAGGCCAATTACTGCAGGGCCTAGCTTAATTCGTTTTCATTTTTAATTACAAATGATTGTTTACATTTAGTACCAGAGGTACTATTGTTGTAAGTTACATATGTGTGAAAACATAAAAAGGACCAAAGCTGCACGTCATAAAGAACAATGAATTTTTAATTACACCAGCATAATCTTCGCAGTAGAGTGTGCAACTCTACTGTGAAGACTATGCTTTATACAATAGAACAGGTAAACGTTTCCAGACTTAAAATAATTTACTTTTAAAATGAAAACAGTATTACCGACTTCAATACTGTATTTTTAATGCTTTAATTTTCATAGTTAGCGGTAGGATCCTTTTTTTTCAAAATCGATTCATAAATGAGTCTTTTTTTTTAATATATGTCAGACACGGCCGTCTAATCCTAAAACTAGGCTAAACCTGAACTATGGTAACCAGACTGCTGATAAACACACATATATTTTTGTGCCGTGCTCTTCACACAATATTTGTGATCGGTGCGAATCGAACCCACGACCTCCGGCTTAGCAGTCAGGGCCACTGACCACTAGACCAATAGTCACGTCAATAGCCTGTGTTCAAAGAAACACTGAATGAGTACTTGTAAATCCGTTCCTTTTTAAAATAAGTCTAGGTTTTGTATCTAGTGCCTCGTCTATACTTCAACCTAGTCTATGTCCGGCCAGGCGGTCGGGCCTGTCTAACTGACGTGACAATGCAGCCGAACTGAGAATTGCCTCCTTTTCTTAAAAATCGGTTAAAAAGATATAAATTGTTGGTGTTCAAAAGAATTGATAAACACTTGGTGTGTAACAACATTAGCGAAGGCAAAGATAATCAACTTTCAACAGTTTAACG